AGGCTTCCTCCTCAAGATCTCAGTGTAAAACCTGTTGACCATATATTATGAGGACCAACATTTGTATAAATGAATGGATTCTTCCATCCACTCAAACCATGAACTAGCCATACGTCACACACATTGAGCCGTGGGTTAGAGGCTCGTGGTTGGGTCTCGTGGTCTTCATCCCGTGGCACTATAAAGCCCAATTGAACCTAAAGCAAAACAAAAAGGTGTTCAATGTCCTACAGTTCATAAGTGTTCAATGTAAAAACCGTCAGACGCCTGGAGGGGTAGTTTGGTTAGGATTCCTTCTGCAAATATCTGCAGAGCATTGCTCCGTCCCATCTACCACCTGAAAGATGCATGATGATATATCTGGCAGACTATTACATCACTGCCCTCTCTAATTATCTGCAGGACATTGCTCCATCTCATCTCCCTCTTGACAGATACCCGTCGATTACATTCTGCAGGTTATTCCATCCTTGACCTCTCTAGAGATCTGCAGAGCATTGCTTCATCCCATCCTCCCTCCTGAGATACATTTTTATTTATTCTGTAGATTATTCCTTTATTGGCCTCTAGAGATCTGCAGAACATTGCTCTGCCCCATTTCCCTCCTAGCAGATGCATATTGATATATTCTGCAGAGTATTCCATCACTGACCTCTCTAGAGATCTGCAGACCGTTGCTTCGTCCCATTCCCCCTGAGATGGGACACAATGTTCTGTGGAACTTTAGAGGCCAGTGATTGAATATTGTGTCTCATCTCCCTCCTGATTTTATTTATTCTGGCAGATTATTGGCCTTTAGCGATCTGCAGAACATTGCTCCATCCCGTCTCCCCTCTAAAAATATACATACTGCCGATTTCTGTACATGATCATGATTTACTGATCTCCATAGAGAAATGCAGGACATTGCTCCATCTCATCTCCTGCTGGATAGATACATAATGGTCTATTCTGCAGATTATTTATTTTCTAGCCTCTCGAGATCTGGCAGAACATTGCTCCATCACATTTCCTTCAAGATAGATACATTTTTTATTTATTCTGTAGATTATTCCTTTTTTGGCTTCTAAAGATCTGCAGAAAATTGCTCTGCCCCATCTCCCTTGTGACAGATCCATATTGATATATTCTGCAGATTACTCAACCACTGACCTCTCTAGAGATCTGCAGAACATTTGCTCCATTCCCTCTTCTGCCTGACACTTAATGGAATATTCTGCAGATTATCCAGTCACTAGCCTCTATAGATCTGCAGAGCATTGCTTCGTCCCATCCCTCCTCCTGAGATACATTTTTATTTATTCTGTAGATTATTCCTTTATTGGCCTCTAGAGATCTGCAGAACATTGCTCTGCCCCATCTTCTTCCTGAAAGATCCATATTGATTATATTGTGCAGATTATTCCAATCACTGACTTTTCTAGAGGTCTGCAGAACATTTCCCCATCCCATCTCCCTCCTTACAGATACAAATTAGTATATTCTGAAGATTATTCTCACTACTACTGACGTCTCTAAAGATTTGCAGAACATTGCTCCATCTCATCTCCTTGCTGACAGATATATATATACATTTATTCTGCAGATTCTAACATCACTGATCTTTCTAAAGATCTGCAGAACATTGCTCCATCCCATATCCCTCCTGACAGACACATATTGATATATTCTGCGGATTATTCCATCACTGACTCTCTCTGGAAATCTGCAGATCATTGCTCTGTCCCATCTCCCTTCTGATAGATTCATTTTTATTTTTTCTGCAGATTATTCCTTTATTGGCCCCTAGACATCTGCAGAACATTGCTCCATCCCATTTTAGTCCTGACGGATACATATTGATATATTCTGCGGATTATTCCATCACTGACCTCTCTGGAAATCTGCAGAACATTGCTCCATCCCATCTCCCTCCTGGTGGATACATATTGATATATTCTTTGGATTATTCCATCACTGATCTCTCTGGAAATCTGCAGATCTTTGCTCTGTCCCATCTCCCTTCTGATATATTCATTTTTTTTTCTTCTGCAGATTATTTCCTTTATTGGCCTCTAGAGATCTGTAGAACATTGCTCCATCCCATCTCCCTCCTGACGGATACACATTGATATATTCTGCAGATTATTCCATCACTGACCTCGCTAGAGATCTGCAGAACATTGCTCCATCCCATCTCCCTCCTGATGGATACATATTGATATATTCTGCAGATTATTCCATCACTGACCTCTCTAGAGATCTGCAGAACATTGCTCCATCCCATCTCCCTTCTGATAGATTCATCTTTTAATTTTTTTTATGAAGATCATTCCACCAACAACCTCTCTACAGATCTGCAGAACATTGCTCTGTCCCATCTCCCTTCTGATAATTCATTTTCTTCATTGGCCCCAAGAGATCTGCAGAACATTGCTCCATCCCATCTCCCTCTTGATGGATACATATTGATGTATTCTGCAGATGATTTCATCACTGGACCCTCTAGAGCTCTGCAGATGTTCCCATGGATAGTTTGGACGTATCTTTGTTCCTCTGGCTGCATTTCGGGTGGTTTAGACTTTCCTGATTTTTAATACATTGAATGTTTCTCTCCCGGATCCTGTCTGTGTTCCGTATTCATCGTTTTATTCTCCCCATTCCGTTATATTGTATCCTTTTATGTTCTTTGTGTAGAAATATCTGTACCGTTTATTGGCTCTTAATATCGTTTCCTCCCCCAGTGTTCCAGTATTGGTGTCTCCTATAATGTCATTTTTGAACTTGTGTCTTTTATGTTTTTCTACGCTTTTGCTGATGTTGGCGCTATTTAAGCACATGCAATGGTAATGGGTTATCGCGCAGTCGGTTCCTGACGTTTTGGTGTGGTCATCTTCCTCTGCAGGTCATTGCGATCGTGATGGACATCTTCACCGATGTGGACATCCTCTCTGACCTGCTGGATGCAGCCCCGCCCGCCGTGTCCCCGTCTACATCATCCTGGACAAGATGAATTCTGAGCACTTCCTGGACATGGCCACCAAGTGCCGCGTCAACCTGAACTTCGTGGAGGTAAGCCCCACAACCCCCTCCCCCGACATCCCATGACCACCTGCTTATACACCTCACATCTGTGTATGGCGTGATTGTACTGTAGGATGTGCAGATTACGCCGCTCTACCGGTCAGAAGCAGCTACAGCAACCAAAGCCTGGAGTTGGGAAGGGTTAGGCTTTTATTGCTGTCTGAGTTCTGATTGGGGATAGACATGGGCGGTTAGTTTTTTCGTTCTGAAGCGAAAATTCGGACAAATTATTAGTTATTCAGAAATTTGGATTTATCCGAATTACAATAGTAATGAATTCGAAATAACAAAGCTGAATGCGAATGGAATTCGACTTAAATTCGAAAAGGGTAGAACATAATAGAATAGAAAATAAAAGAATAGAATTGAATAGAATATACTGTAATAGAATAGAATGAACAAATAGAATAGAAGAGATTAGAATACAAAAAAATATGAATAGATTAGAATAGAATAATTATCTTCCAAAATTCAAATTTCGAACAGATTAGGTTAAAATAGAAAAAAAAAACAATAGAATAATAGAAAATAGGTATATATAACCTCAAATGAAATTTTGAATTTTGAATAGAACAATTTTGAATTGAATAGAAAAGAATGAATACAAAAGAATAGAATAGAAATTAATAAAATAGAATAGAAAAGAATAGAATAGAAAAAAAACTAGAATAGAATATAACTGTCTTCCGAAATTCGAATCAAATATAATAAATTTGAACTTGAATAGACTAGATTAAAACAGAATAGAAAAGAATAGAATAGAACAAACAATAGAATTAAATAGAATAAAATAGAATATAAGAGTCTTCCGAAATGTGAATTTCGAATAGATTAGGAAAGATTAGAAAAAAAAAAAATAAATAGAAAGTAAGAGAATAGAGAAAAACAAAGTAGAATATAACTGTCTTCTGAAATTCAAATTCTTAACTGAATAAATTTTAATAGAAAAGAATGCAATAGAATAGCATAAACAATAGAATAAAATAGAATATAACTGTCTTCTGAAATTTTAATTTCAAATAGAATAAATTTGAACTCGAATAGACTAGATGAGAACAGAATAGAAAAGAATAGAATAGAACAAACAATAGAATAGAATTCAATAGAATAAAATTATAACTGTCTTCCGAAATTCGAATTTCAAATAGAATAGAAAAGCATAGAAAATAAGAGAATAAAAAAAAAAAACAATAAAATCGTATATACTGTAAACTGTCTTCTGAAATTCAAATTTCAGAATAAACTGGAACAGAAAAGAATAGAATAGAAAAGAATACAATAGAATAAAATAGAATAAAATAGAATATAACTCTTCTGAAATTTGAATTTCAAATAGAATAAATTTGAATAGAAAAGAATACAATAGAATATAACTGTCTTTTCAAAGTCGAATAGATTAGAATAGAATAACACAGAATATATCCTTCCAAAATTCAAATTTCGGATAGAATAGATTTGAATGCCGATTAAAATTTTCTGAAAACGGAATTTAATTTGAGTCGAATTAAAAAATGAAAAGAATTTCAAAACTAAACAAATTTAACTTAACAAAATTATTTAAATAACAAATTGAAACAAAACAAATGTTTTCATTCTGCACATGTCTAATTGAAGGGGGGGTGGGGGGGGGGGGGGGGGGGGGTTGGTGTCTCGGTGATCACCGTCATTGGGACAGGAAGTCAGAAGTGGCTTCCCAAGGATAGACCAGAATAAAACCCGAGAGAGTTTGTAACCCTTCCCCAATTCATCCCACATCTTTTCCACTCTCTCCGCTCTTTTTTCTTGTAGAAGCAAAATATATGAATCTCAGATTCTCAGAATGCTGAAAGTTCCTCTGGATCAGTACGGAGCTCCATGTTGGTCACTCGTTTTATAAACTGTTACTCATGGGCGGGGCCAGGGGCAGTCAGGCTAGGCAGGAAAGGGCTAGAATCTGATGCTGGACGTCCTCCAGCCAGGAAATGAGGTGGAGCTCTCTCTGACTTTCTGCAGCTTCTAATGCACATTGTGAGAAGCTCCCAGTGTGCGGTGACATCAGAGGAAGCCATTCCAGTCCAGGAGAGGAGCCGGTACACCTGCGCAAGACTGGAGGGGAGGAGCCGGTACCCCTGTGCAAGACTGAAGGGGAGGAGCCGGTACACCTGTGCAAGACTGGAGGGGAGGAGCCGGTACACCTGTGCAAGACTGGAGGGGAGGAGCCGGTACACCTGTGCAAGACTGAAGAGGAGGATCCGGTACACCTGTGCAAGACTGAAGGGAGGAGCCGTTACACCTGTGCAAGACTGAAGGGGAGGAGCCGGTACACCTGTGCAAGACTGGAGGGGAGGAGCCGGTACACCTGTGCAAGACTGAAGAGGAGGAGCTGGGACACCTGTGCAAGACTGGAGGGGAGGAGCCGGTACACATGTGCAAGACTGGAGGGGAGGAGCCGGGACACCTGTGCAAGACTGGAGGGGAGGAGCCGGTACACATGTGCAAGACTGGAGGGGAGGAGCCGGTACACCTGTGCAAGACTGGAGGGGAGGAGTCGGTACACCTGTGCAAGACTGAAGGGGAGGAGCCTGTACACCTGTGTCAGACTAAAGGGGATGTTGGAGGAAGGGTTTAACATTGTTGCATCTTTAACCCATAACTGGGAGGACTGTAGCTTTGCAGTTAGTGAAGGGCACATTGGGGTAGATTTAGTGAAGGGCACATTGGGGTAGATTTTAGTGAAGGGCACATTGGGGTAGATTTAGTGAAGGGCACATTGGGGTAGATTTAGTGTGAAGGGCACATTGGGGTAGATTTAGTGAAGGGCACATTGGGGTAGATTTAGTGAAGGGCACATTGGGGTAGATTTAGTGAAGGGCACATTGGGGTAGATTTAGTGAAGGGCACATTGGGGTAGATTTAGTGAAGGGCACATTGGGGTAGATTTGCTAAAAGCAAATAGACTGAGCACTTTGCACAGGGCAGTTGCTCCAGAGTTTAGTAAATGAGGGGAATCTCTGCTGACTTCAATCAACCAATCATGTGCAGGCAAAAATGCTGTTTTTTTTTTTTTTTTATATTTCTTGCATTTTTTAAAAAATAGTTCTTGCATGTGATTGGCTTCTCTTTGCAAAGTGACGCTTCACCTCATTTTACTAAGCTCTGGAGCAACTGCACTTGCAAAGTGCACAGTCTGTTTGCCTTTCATAAATCAACCCCATTGCATGTCTTCCCTTGGATACCATAAGGTGACCCCCCCTTTTCCCCGATAACCCCCCACCTCCAGGGACTCAACTGCTGAACCAATAAAAGCAGCGGGTTCTTTTGCTGCGGCTATTTCCAGCCAAGTCTATAAACAGCACGGACTTCCATTCATTCCTCGGACCGCCTTCCCTGGAAGACAATCAGACAACATATATCCCCAGGATGAGTGACCTGCACTGCTGAGCCTGTCTAGGGGGGAAAGATGCTTCTGTCTATCATAGGAACAGAGAAGAGTGGTGGCAGGAGAAGACCGAATGGTCCTTCAGGTTTTTACACCGTTAACCTTTTTTATTTTTATTTATTTCAAGTACTTATATAGCGCCGTCAATGTATGCAGCGCTTTACATATATATTGTACATTCACATCAGTCCCCGACCCTCAAGGGGCGTCCAATCTAAGGTCCCTGACCCTCAAGGGGTGTACAATGTAAGGTCCCCGACCCTCAAGGGGCGTCCAATCTAAGGTCCCTAACCCTCAAGGGGCGTCCAATCTAAGGTCCCTAACCCTCAAGGGGCGTACAATCTAAGGTCCCTAACCCTCAAGGAGCGTACAATCTAAGGTCCCTAACCCTCAAGGGGCGTACAATCTAAGGTCCCCAACCCTCAAGGGGCGTCCAATCTAAGGTCCCCAACCCTCAAGGGGCGTCCAATCTAAGGTCCCCAACCCTCAAGGGGCGTACAATCTAAGGTCCCTAACCCTCAAAGGGCGTACAATCTAAGGTCCCTAACCCTCAAGGGGCGTCCAATCTAAGGTCCCCGACCCTCAAGGAGCGTACAATCTAAGGTCCCCGACCCTCAAGGAGCGTACAATCTAAGGTCCCCGATCCTCAAGGGGTGTACAATCTAAGGTCCCTAACTCACATTCATACATACACATATTAGGGTCAATTTAGACAGGAGCCAATTCACCTACCAGCATGTCTTTGCAGTGTCAGAGGAAACCCACACAGGCACAGGGAGAACATGCAAACTCCAGGCAGGTGGTGCCATGGGTGGGATTTGAACCAACGACTCGGAGTACCCGGTGGAATCTCACGCAGGCACAGGGAGAACATGCAAACTCCAGGCACGTGGTGCTGTGGTTGGGATTTGAACCAACAGTCGTAGTGCTGCCAGGCGGAGGTGCTAACCACTGAGCCACTGTGCTGCCCCAGCTGTTTGTATGAGTATAGATCTATATTTAAATCGACTTACTATTGACTGATTCCCTACCTCTGCTGGAAGTCTGTTCCAAACATCAACTACTCCTTCTGTTAAATACTTTCTAAGGTTAAAGGGGAGCTCCAGTCAAAATCTAAAACAATAAGTCAGCAGCTACAAAAACTGCCACTCACCTGTCCCTCGATCCCGCAGTGTCCTCCCTGCAGCCGATTTTCACCGGCCATCCTCTCTCCCCAGCACGAGCATCTTCAGAAAGCTTCAGAACTGGCTGCCCACTGCACATGTGCGAGTGAATGGCCCCGTGGTCTTCTGGGACCTGTCACGGGTCCCAGAAGACTACGGGGAGGGAGGACAACTTCCATTTCCCATCGCCTACTTGATCGCAAAGGAAGTGGGAGCGGCTACCTGTCAAAATTGGGTCCCCACCAGGGGCGGACTGACAACTCATGGGGCCCCCGGGCAATAGGGGATCATGGGGCCCCTGTGTCCTTGCCCAAACTCAAAAAAGCCTATGAAAAAGGGGCATCTCATGGGGCCCCCTACTGAACCCGGGCCCTCGGGCAGTGCCCGAGTTTCCGAATGGTCAGTTCGCCCCTGGTCCCCACTGTCTAATTCTTAAAGGGGAGTGGGGGGACGAGGCCTTAAAGTGGGATTTCCTCTTTTGGGTGGAGCTCCACTTTAATGTTGAGCTTTCCTCCTCTAGTCTGAGCTCATGTCTTTGTGTTCTTGGTCTTGGCTTCATATTGGAAATCCTGCCCCTGCAAAAATCGCGGCTGTGTCAGGTGTACAGGTGCTGAGCAGCTGCATGCCATTGATTAGGTGGATGGTTGGGGACAAGAAAACCATGGCTCAGCTGCCTGCTTTTACCACCCCTGGCCACTTGTGTGAATGAGCCACGTGGGAGTTCCTAAGAAGCAGATACACCCTACACTGAGATGGAGATTATTTTGGGAGGGGGAGGGTGATGGAAGCAACATCGTACTGCTTTGGGAGGAGGTGCCCCCGGTACTCCATCAGTACAGTAGGGGCCCATTCACACCTATGTGGCCCAGTGTGGTAACATGTATGCACGCATGTTACATGCGTTAATTCATTGCAACGCCTTTCATTGTAAATGGCACCCCAATGCACTAAGGCAGCCGGCCGCCAATGCACACGCATTGCAGCACACCTCAAGGCATGATAAAGCGGTGCTGTGCGTTGTGGTGCCCCTCAATGCCAAAAATGGACATTTTGCCGCACTGCCAGCCAGTTCATGTGAATGGGCCGTAGTGAAATACATGATCACGTGTGGGGAAAAAAACTGCACATGAACACATGATGCACCAGGACATCAAGGTCTGCATGGGGCCCTAAAGCTGGCCATAAAATCCTTCTAGGTAATTCTCCCCCACTGGAGTTTTTTCATGAGGTTTTGAAGATGAATAAAGTGGATTTGTGCTTTGGTGCGACCACACAGACTCTCCTTTCATCATTTTAAATGTGATTGGTGGATGATTTGTGTGTTTTTCTCTTTTTTCTATCGGCTACAGCCAAGTTAAATGGCATTGAAATGGAAAATTTCTGCTTCTAAAAATGGCCGCAGGCTGTTGTTGCTCGTGCTCCTGCCTTGCACCTGTCATCACCATCAGCCCGATCTCCTAATAACAGCATTAGTATGAATAATCCTGACTATTATCACATAGAAGGCCTATGTCCTCCGTTTACCTGTAAATATCCCCCACCCAGGTGTGTCGCCTGTATTTACCGTGTAATGACACCTGATGACATGTGATCACGCCTGCCGAGCTCATCTCCTGCACACCAGCTGTCATATACCGTCTTTTGTGTCTGTATCCTGCGGAGGCACTCCGAGCGTGCAGAGACATCTGGGGGACATCCAGCCACCAACTCATCTATCCATCCTCCCAACAATCCTTCATCTGTCCATCCATTCACCCTCCCAACCATCCAGTCACTCACACCACCCAATCTCTTACCCACCTATCCATCCATTCACCCTCCCAACCATCTATCACTCCACTACCAAATCACTTACACACCCATCCATCCACCCTCCCAACTGTCCATCCTTTCCATCCATTTACCCTCCTTCCCAACCATCCATCCACTACTCATCCATCCAACCACTCAGTCACCAACCCATTCATCCATCCTCCCAACCATCCATCTCTTCATCTATCCATCTACCCTCCCAACCATTCATCTATCCAACTACTTACCCACCCATTCATCCACCCTCCCAACTGTCCATCCTTTCCATCCATTTACCCTCCCTCCCAACCATCCATCCAACCACTCAGTCACCAACCCATCCATCTCCTCCCAACCATCCATCTCTTCATCTATCCATCTACCCTCCCAACCATTCATCTATCCAACTACTTACCCACCCATCCACCCACCCTCCCAACTGTCCATCCTCCAACTGTCCATCCTTTCCATCCATTTACCCTCCCTCCCAACCATCCATCCAACTACTCATTCATCCAACCACTCACTCACCAACCCATCCATCCATCCTCCCAACCATCCATCTCTTCATCTATCCATCTACCCTCCCCAACCATTCATCTATCCAACTACTTACCCACCCATTCATCCACCCTCCCAACTGTCCATCCTTCTTTCCATCCATTTACCCTCCCTCCCAACCATCCATCCAACTACTCATCCATCCAACCACTCAGTCACCAACCCATCCATCCATCCTCCAACCAACCATCCATCTCTTCATCTATCCATCTACCGTCCATCCTTTCCATACCATTTTACCCTCCCTCCCAATCCATCCATCCAACTACTCATCCATCTAACCACTCACTCACCAACCCATCCATCCATCCTCCCAACCATCCATCCATCTTCATCTATCCATCTACCCCTCCCAAAACCATTCATCTATCCATCTACTTACCCACCCATTCATCCACCCTATCCCAACTGTCCATCCTTCTTTCCATCCATTTACCCTCCCTCCCAACCATCCATCCATCCACTATCTATCTATCTATCTATCTATCTATCTATCTATCTATCTATCCAACCACTTACCCTCCCCCTCCCCTCCCTCCCACCCCTCCTCTCCTCCCTCTCTCTCCCCCTCCCTCCCCCCCCCCTCCCTCCCCCCTCCCTCCCTCCCCCCCCACCCCCTCCCCCCTCCCCCCTCAAGGG